ATAATAATAATAATAATAATAATAATAATAATAATAATAATAATAATAATAATAATAATAATAATAATAATAATAATAATAATAATAATAATAATAATAATAATAATAATAATAATAATAATAATAATAATAATAATAATAATAATAATAATAATAATAATAATAATAATAATAATAATAATAATAATAATAATAATAATAATAATAATAATAATAATAATAATAATAATAATAATAATAATAATAATAATAATAATAATAATAATAATAATAATAATAATAATAATAATAATAATAATAATAATAATAATAATAATAATAATAATAATAATAATAATAATAATAATAATAATAATAATAATAATAATAATAATAATAATAATAATAATAATAATAATAATAATAATAATAATAATAATAATAATAATAATAATAATAATAATAATAATAATAATAATAATAATAATAATAATAATAATAATAATAATAATAATAATAATAATAATAATAATAATAATAATAATAATAATAATAATAATAATAATAATAATAATAATAATAATAATAATAATAATAATAATAATAATAATAATAATAATAATAATAATAATAATAATAATAATAATAATAATAATAATAATAATAATAATAATAATAATAATAATAATAATAATAATAATAATAATAATAATAATAATAATAATAATAATAATAATAATAATAATAATAATAATAATAATAATAATAATAATAATAATAATAATAATAATAATAATAATAATAATAATAATAATAATAATAATAATAATAATAATAATAATAATAATAATAATAATAATAATAATAATAATAATAATAATAATAATAATAATAATAATAATAATAATAATAATAATAATAATAATAATAATAATAATAATAATAATAATAATAATAATAATAATAATAATAATAATAATAATAATAATAATAATAATAATAATAATAATAATAATAATAATAATAATAATAATAATAATAATAATAATAATAATAATAATAATAATAATAATAATAATAATAATAATAATAATAATAATAATAATAATAATAATAATAATAATAATAATAATAATAATAATAATAATAATAATAATAATAATAATAATAATAATAATAATAATAATAATAATAATAATAATAATAATAATAATAATAATAATAATAATAATAATAATAATAATAATAATAATAATAATAATAATAATAATAATAATAATAATAATAATAATAATAATAATAATAATAATAATAATAATAATAATAATAATAATAATAATAATAATAATAATAATAATAATAATAATAATAATAATAATAATAATAATAATAATAATAATAATAATAATAATAATAATAATAATAATAATAATAATAATAATAATAATAATAATAATAATAATAATAATAATAATAATAATAATAATAATAATAATAATAATAATAATAATAATAATAATAATAATAATAATAATAATAATAATAATAATAATAATAATAATAATAATAATAATAATAATAATAATAATAATAATAATAATAATAATAATAATAATAATAATAATAATAATAATAATAATAATAATAATAATAATAATAATAATAATAATAATAATAATAATAATAATAATAATAATAATAATAATAATAATAATAATAATAATAATAATAATAATAATAATAATAATAATAATAATAATAATAATAATAATAATAATAATAATAATAATAATAATAATAATAATAATAATAATAATAATAATAATAATAATAATAATAATAATAATAATAATAATAATAATAATAATAATAATAATAATAATAATAATAATAATAATAATAATAATAATAATAATAATAATAATAATAATAATAATAATAATAATAATAATAATAATAATAATAATAATAATAATAATAATAATAATAATAATAATAATAATAATAATAATAATAATAATAATAATAATAATAATAATAATAATAATAATAATAATAATAATAATAATAATAATAATAATAATAATAATAATAATAATAATAATAATAATAATAATAATAATAATAATAATAATAATAATAATAATAATAATAATAATAATAATAATAATAATAATAATAATAATAATAATAATAATAATAATAATAATAATAATAATAATAATAATAATAATAATAATAATAATAATAATAATAATAATAATAATAATAATAATAATAATAATAATAATAATAATAATAATAATAATAATAATAATAATAATAATAATAATAATAATAATAATAATAATAATAATAATAATAATAATAATAATAATAATAATAATAATAATAATAATAATAATAATAATAATAATAATAATAATAATAATAATAATAATAATAATAATAATAATAATAATAATAATAATAATAATAATAATAATAATAATAATAATAATAATAATAATAATAATAATAATAATAATAATAATAATAATAATAATAATAATAATAATAATAATAATAATAATAATAATAATAATAATAATAATAATAATAATAATAATAATAATAATAATAATAATAATAATAATAATAATAATAATAATAATAATAATAATAATAATAATAATAATAATAATAATAATAATAATAATAATAATAATAATAATAATAATAATAATAATAATAATAATAATAATAATAATAATAATAATAATAATAATAATAATAATAATAATAATAATAATAATAATAATAATAATAATAATAATAATAATAATAATAATAATAATAATAATAATAATAATAATAATAATAATAATAATAATAATAATAATAATAATAATAATAATAATAATAATAATAATAATAATAATAATAATAATAATAATAATAATAATAATAATATTTATTATTCCAAAATAACAACGCAGCAACATGATACAAACAAAATGTAAATTACAAAAAATACAAGTCAACACAAAATCACGTTAAGCGAACCACCGAACTACATATACTCTTTAATGCGTCACTATGTTTATCACAGTTAGAAACGATTTTATTATAAAGCCCACACATCAATGATATGGGAGACTTTGTAATGTATCTGAAAGGTTATAAAATTATATAGAACTAATGATGTGATATTACTAATTCAATCACAATCTTGGTTTTAGGAAAGATTTAATTTCAAATTATTACAAATTATGAACTTTTGCTTATATTTAGTAGATTTAACTTTTAAGAGATTGGTGAAATGTTCCTTATCCGTCTCTTAAAATTCATTCATTAAAACTTTCAGAAAACACAGGCTATGACTACAGTTAAAAACAAATGAAGATATAGGTAATAGGAATAAATCCAAAAATTATATTAGCAAATTTTTCTGAATTTCGGTAATGTCCGCGATGATAGTTTTTGCATGGACAATTGATATTTTCTTACACAAAATGAATGATGATTTCGAATGAAAATTGCTAATACAATGTTTTAATAATTGGCGCCCAACGAATATCTTAACATGCTTGGGAGTTACAAATATGTATGTACATTAAAATTTTTTAACTTACTATGTTAATGATCTGTACATTTATAACACCCTGTATCTGTTTACATTTTTAATATTTCTTATTATATACAATGTAATATGTGTTTTGTTATTAGTATGCCTACTGTAGGTAATATATTTACACACTATTAATAGTAGGAAAATAATTTAGGAGTATATACAGGGTGGTTCATTAATAATTGTATATACGCTAACTGGATAAGCCTGGGCTGAAAATATGAAGAATTGACCCATAACCCTTAGATAAAATATGGACTTACACGGTGTTTTATTTAAAAAAAAATTAATTGATTTTTGCCCATTACTTGCCCTGTTTGATATTTCTCTATCATCCTCTACATAAAGTTGAGATACTTTAGAACATATTAAAAAATGCTTCAAAATCTTTCGTGGCTACTACCAGAGGCGTACGACAGGGGTAGAGGGGTAGTTTCCCATTCCTAACTTTTACGCCATTGGCGGAATTTTTATTTTGGTACAATTTTTCAATTCTTCAATACTTTCTATGCAATTAACCTGATATTCCTTCATAGCAGTAAAGTCATTATTTCTCGAGATTTTTAATGTTAAACATAGGGCTGCACAATCATTTTTATTTTATTATGTAAATTATTTGTAATATTATCGGTGTCTTCTGTCATAGGATTGCATTGCATTAGTTGAATTAAGTTTTACAGTCGAGTACAGTTTTAGTAATCAAAAAAATCATTTAAAATTTTTTAAATAAAACACCCTGTAACTCCGTAAGGAGCCATATTTTATCTCAGCGTTATGTATCAATTCTTCATATTTTCAGCCCAGGATTATCCAGTTAGCGTATGTACAATTATTAATGAGCGTAATTAGAAACATGGATCATTTTGGGGAATTTGCAGCTACGCAAATTTTTTCAGTCAAATTTGGACGAATAGAAACTATTTTAATTGCACGCAACTATGAAGATTTTAAGTAATTATTATCAGTATTAATGCAATTTAATTTCATTCAAATTGAACAATTGTGACGCGGAAAGTAGTATCGTTTTAACAAAAGAACAAAATTAGCTATTTTCATTCCCTAATTTTTTTCTCTTTCTCTATTTTCTTTTTCAAATATTTTGTAAGAAATAGTGCATCAGTGTGTCGAAACATTTTGTTGCTATGCCCCTCAAATTAGATGTAATCTGCGTTGTCCATATTAACAAGATCATTGCGAAATAAAATGATGACAAATACCAAATATTCAACAAACTAATTATTCAAAAGTAAATAATATATTTTTAATTAATGGGTTTCTGCAACATTTATCACCTATGTAACTTATAATTATATGCACTTTGTGACCCAGTATTATCCTAAACCATTATCCAAAACGTCACTGCGTTTTTTATATAAAAATCCACGAATTGCGGGAATAGTCAATCCTGGGTGTCTGTTCGAGTGACGAACATGAAGTTGGTTCAGGTTCTTCTAGTTGCGGCCTTGTGTGCCTTTGCTAGCTCCAGTGAAGTCCGTAAGTACTTTTTAATTTTATTTTTTTTGTATAAAACATATTTTCTACAAAATTTGTTAGTAAACCACATAGATAATACCTTTTGTGTAATCAGTTCTGGGGAAATATTATGAAAATAGTTTGTGGGAATAGGCAATTTAAAATTAAAAAAAAGAAAAATTATAGAAATAATTTCACATTCTTCAATTTCGGTATAAACATTAATAGGGTTGTCCACTGTAAAAACAAACCATATACAAATTGTTGTTGATACGAAGATTTTATATAAAAGAACCTGCCTGTATAGTCAAATTTTAAATATATGACAAATTAGTGGTAGAAATCATTTATGAATTTTTGTGTTACTTAAAAACTAGACTGAGGTCATAAGGAACAATTCAACAAGAAGCTAGTAGCGATCCTATTGCATAATTTTGAAGATGAAGAAAATATATCAAAATTGTCCATCAAACCGTGTTACCTGTTTCCTGTTTTTTAAACAAAAGTGACAGTAGTGACACTAGTGACAGCAGTCTATCAATTAAGAGTATTTGTGATAGTTATTATTAATTTCCTGATTGTAATGGATTCAACAAAATTTAAGTGGTGTTTTGTTCCACATTCCACATTCCACATAGCCAATTGCATTATCTCCAAAAGACTCCCGAACTGCACTATAATTTTCCGTAAATAAATAGCTATTTATATTTATTATTTATATTATAAATAAACACAATAAAATCATTCATAAAATATGTTAATCCTTACCTGAATGCTTTTATACCTCTGATTTCGCCAATATTAAAACGGTCGTCTCTTTTTAAAAATTCAATTCATGATCATAAAAATATAAATTTTCGGTAAAATAAGTAGCTTTCACAAATTCCGTTTCACACATTCTGCTTTAATTCTAAGGGAAGGAAAGTAGTAGTAGTAATGATTATTACTAAATAAAAATTTTACTTAATAAAGGAATTCGAAGATTAAGGAAAATAACTTGTAGACTTGAAAATATTTTATGCGACAATGTCACTGACAGACTGACACTACTGACGGTGCTGACAGAGCATCTTCTTCCTCCAATTTTTTTCCTTTACGCAATCATATACACATAATTTCACTACAAGGTACCCCTTATGACGTCACAGCCGTTTTGAAATATTATAAAAAAATCAGTTTTAAATAATTATTTTAAAACTGTTCCAACGCATTTCCAATCTCTAATTGTGCATACACACTAATTAGTACGTGTAAAATTATATTATCTACTTTTTGAAATTTGGTCAACAACCCTATTATACTGTTAGATTTTTAGAAAACATACAGTATTTTAATGCAGTTTTATTGATGAAGTGCCTTTATTAATGTTTAGTAGTAACGTAAATTTAAGATCAGTTTATTTTTCCCTCTTTAATTCAATCTTGTCTTATGGTATTGTGCTATGGGGAGGCTGCTCTAGCGCTTTAAAACCTTTAGAATCCAAAAAAAGCCATTCATATTCTGGCCAACGTAGGTTATAGAGATCACTGTCGCCAACTTTTTGTGAATTATGCCCTTGCCATCGCTATTTGTTTATTACTGTGTATTGGATATTCATAAGAATATTGCCAGTTACACGGTTCAATCTGATATACATAATTACTGTACTCGTACTTCTAAATTCTTGCGACTACCTAGACATCGCTTAGTACTGACTGCGAGAAATTCCTTAAATTTAAACATGTACAATGTCCTCCCATCACATGTAAAATCACTGTGTTTTATCAAATTTAAATTGTGTATAAAGAATTATTTGTTGTCAAAATGTTTTTATTCCGTTAGTGACTTTATGAACAGTGTTCATAACATTTAGTGATTGCTTTCACTCTGACGTTTATTACGGTATAAGTAATTTTTATTGTTAGGTCAATGTGTATTTTAATTAGTCTAGTGCTTTGTTTGTATTTTCTTAAATTGTTGTTTTTATGATTGTGTGTTTCTTTGACTTGCTACCATAATATGTTATGTATTAATGTAGACCAATAAATATTCTATTCTATTCTATATCGTCAAAATGACCACTAATCTAGTGTGCAGTAAAATATAATTGATAAATATATACTTTTATATACAAAATAAGAAAACAAATGTTTTTTAACTGGCTGGAATAGAGACTGTAGGCCTTCTATAAATTTTGACCTATATTTCCAACATTAATTTTTCATTTCTATTTACATGTTACGTTCTATATTGTCATTTTCTATTAATTTTACTTAATTATTCAAGGACATGGTAGAAAAATTTCAATCTAAAAAAAGAAATATTTTCACACAGTTATATATTTATTTTTTCAAAATATATTTTTTTTATTATTTAAAAACTACGTAACACATAAATATCTATTAAATTAAAACGATATTTTATTTAAATAGAATATTACCAAATGGACAATGATTCTCGGATTTACGATTATTGAAAGTAATTTACTTAATTTTATATTACAATTTACAATAATCTAAATATACAGGTTATTATCAAGTCGTTAATCACAGATTCTTTGGGTGAAAATAATCGAAATTTCCTTGTCATTCTTGCCTCTAGGTGCTTCTTTTTCAAGATGTAAATTCTCAAAGTTGTAGTTTAAAAAATATTTTTATTAACAATTCCGTTGTTTTGTTTTTTTCGATTATTCTGTTGAAATTTTGTAACTTGTTCCGTATGCTAACACATCTTTTATGTAACTTTGGTCAAGATCATTGCGCGAACGGACGAAAGGGAGTCGTAATGGCCTCCCAAATTCTTCTGCGCTCACACATATAGTTCAAAGATGTTGAGTTTAGGTCTAGATAAAAAATGTCTATATTTTTTCACTCTTACAAAATTTAGAGCTGATCAGGTTTTGTATTGTATATGAAATATTTATTAAGGGTATTATGACTCCATTTCCACTGTTCTCCCAACGATTTTTTCACCAAAACTATACAAAACATATCGCGACATAAGCTAAAAGTTTTTGAAAAATTTTAACTGCACGTCTTAAAAAACCAGGGAGTTATTAACAAAAATAATTATGTTTTTAAATTGTAATTTAGCACCCTGTATATTGAGAAGCATGTAAATAAAAAAAACACAAAAATACATAAAGAATGTCCAGCTATTTTGTTTTGCAGGACTACAAAAACGAAAATAAAATAAGTGTTCTTATATACTCTGAATAATTTTCAGCTATTGCAAAAATACAAAAGGATGTGCTTCTACTGTTGGCACACATAAACCAGCCTCCAATGTACCCGCAATGGACAAAAACCATGGAGACATATAACGTTTCCCTTCATGCCTCTGAATATTCTGTAAGTTTGCCACGATTTAAAAGAATTTACACATTTCATTTTCATCAACCACTTTTTTTGTCACTATTAAAATATTAGCAGTAATACATTTTCGATATGTTTGCAGAAACCAGAAGTAGTCCACCAATATGAACTCTATGAGTCCTACGGCTTCCTACCCAAAGGAGAAATATTCTCCGTCATGTACCAGCCCCACCTCAACCAGTCCATTATACTGTTTGAGCTTTTCTACTATGCCAAAACCTACGAAGCGTTCTACAACACCGCGGTTTGGGCCCGTTACCACTTCAATGAAGGCGTATTCTTGTACGCCTACTCTTTGGCAGTCGTCCATCGCCCGGATATGCAAGACGTTATCCTTCCACCAATCTACGAAATCTATCCCTACTACTTCTACAACGTCGAAGTCATCCAGCAAGCTTTCAAGCTAAAGCAAATGCACAACCCTCAGCACCCCATATCTGCCTACGACCAGAACCACGGGTACACTGTCTTTACTAACTACTCCGGTCATTACTTGAATTTACACCCTGAACAGTCTCTTTCTTATTATCTCGAGGATGTTGGTATCAATGCGTTCTACTACTACTACAATCTGTACTATCCTTTCTGGATGAGTTCCAAGGAATACGGATTTGCTGCAGTTAACCGTGGTGAAGAGTACTTCGTTCTGTATTCGCAACTTATCGCCAAATACTACATGGAACGTCTATCTAATGGTTTTGGAGAAATTCAGTACCTCAACTGGGACTTGCCTATAGAAACCCCCTACTATCCATCTTTGGAATATCCAAATGGTCTTGAATTCCCCTACAGACCGCCCTTCGTGAAGCTACAGGAGTATTACTATAACTACGGCCAAACTTGGAGTTGGAAATCTAACTACGGATACAGTTACAATTTGATCCAGGATTGGGAGAGGCGTATCAGCGATGCTATTGATTACGGAGTACTAAATGTGAGTAAGAACAACGAATGTAAATCCATTGTACAATTATTTTCAACTTTCATTTCAGGTACATGGACAAAAAATCAATTTGTATGACTCAGATGCGCTCAACATCCTTGGAAACCTTATCGAAGGCAACCCAGACTCACCTAACTCAGAATTCTACGGTATGATCTGGTTATATGCTCGTCATCTCCTAGGATACTCATACCAGCCTTTGGACAAGTACCATATCGCGCCATCTGCCTTAGAACATTTTGAAACTTCCCTTCGCGACCCAGTATTTTACCAGTTGTACAAGAAAATCATCCTGCTCTTCTACAAATATTTATATAAACTACCTTTCTATTCTTACGATGACCTAGTTTTCCCTGGTGTTGAGGTTGTCGGTGTGGAGATCGACAAGTTGGTAACTTATGATGATTACTTCTACTCTGATATAAGCAATGTCGTTTATGATACAAAAGATGAACTTTTGCAAGATTCCTTCCATATTCGTGTAGCTCAGACTAGGCTCAACCATAAGCCATTCAACTATAAGATAACTGTTAAGTCAGAAAAGGCCGTCCAATCTGTTGTCAAGGTCTTCATAGCTCCGATCTACGATGAATACAATCGCTACATTAATATGACTTACAATTTCATGAATATGGTGTTGTTGGACTACTTCGTATATGACCTGAAGGCAGGACAGAATCCCATTACTCGCAACTCTTATGACTCTCAGTTGTACGGCAAAGATCCTCTGTCTTACCACGAGATCTACCAACAGATGCTGAGTGCTGAGAGTGGAAAGGGAAGTTGGTCTGCCGATCAGTATTACTGGTATTTCCCTCACAGGTATAACGCTCAAGTTGTGATTTATTATTTTTTTATAACATCTTATTTTTTTTTCTAGATACATGCTGCCTCAAGGTACCCCAAGCGGATTGCCATTCCAGTTCTATGTCGCCGTGTACCCATACGTTCCCGAGAAGACAGAAGGTTCTTCCAGCAGCAGAGGTTTCGAGAGCTTCTTCTATCCGATCGTGAATGGAAAGCAATTCATCGACAGCTACCCACTCCTATATCCCTTCGACAAACCCATCGTATACGAGAAGTTCTGGCATGGCATTCCAAACTTCTACTCCTACGAGACGAAGGTTTACCACGTGGAAGATGTCAATGTCGTCCACTAATACTGCCCAGATACTGATTGCTGTTACAAAGCTTTAATTTAAATTGTTATTGTTGTTGTTATTAGTAATATATTCATGCATTTGAATGTAAGGTTAATAATTTTCCTTATCCTTTAAACTTATACAATGATTCTTGAAAGATGCAAATCATATGAGACTTTCTGTTTTTGCACTTAATTTGTGTTCATTGGAATAGTGAACATCAAAGAATAATCATAATAAACATATTTGTTAAATATACTTCTATAATGAAATTTTAAAATGAAAAGGATCAACTTAAAAATCTGTATACTAGAATGAATAAGGTAACTTGCTTTACTTTATAAGCTGGCTGTTTTAAATACTCAAGCATACATATTTACAATGTATTTTTAAAATGTTGTTCATCTAAAAAGGGCGAAAGAAAATGTTGAAATTAGTAGAAAAATCAAATAACCAACACATCATCGGATATGGATGTCTAAAGAGGAACCACTGTTTCTAAGTAATTGGAACACTTTATTTGTTATGAAATGTAATTTAAAATAACAAATATAATTAATCCAGTATCTTCTTGTTGTTATCCGTGTTAATTGTATTGCCAATTTATTTCAAGTTCAAGATTACAATTATTTAACTTTGGAAAAACACTGATAATAGAAAAAAATATGTATTAGTCACATTTATACTGAAAAAAATGTTTTGGCATGAAAATAATAACACTTTCAACGTATTTTTAATTTGTTATAATTTTTGGTAGCAGTACGTCACAGTAAGTTATAAAGTGTATCCTGTTTAAAAACTAGCTAATCCTAACTTTTGTAAAGTTTGTTTAATGAATTTTCTTTTGTTAATTCAATCCTGCAAGTGGATCTTAATTTTTTTAAATCAAAGCTACGTTCAAATACCATATTTTTCTGTGCAAAAATACGCAGGTACTATTTCAAAATTTCAACCTAAAATTTCTGGATGTATTGAGCAATACTTAGATAACTGATTTAGAAATATATTTATTATTCAGCAGGAGAAAAAAATAATAAACCTATAGGCCCTTTTCTCTAAAAAATTCCTATTGGTATCTAATTTCTACACAAAAAAATGGTCACATTTTGCTTTGGCCTTAAATTATTAAATGATGGCATATGCTTCAGCTTTCAAGGGATCTATTTGACAAAAAAAAAATCATTAATATGATTCAATAAATTGAAAAATTATAGCAGGACTAAGTAATGTGCAACACACTGTAAAAGTTAAGTTAAATAAACAAATAAATAAATTTAATTGAACAATTGGTTTCCTTTTTTTTTTTCATTTATAAAATTATAATTATCAGGAAGATGACTATTGATGAATATGTTTCCTGTATGTTCAATTCGTTTTTTAAGTTTTACTCGAAAATCAGGTTTTTTATTTAAACATAACGGAGTAGCGATTTGTAGAGAATTGAAAGACGAATCCGAAAATATCATGATTGTCACCGTAAATCAGTGGCGTACTATTTTATTTAGAAAAATATGCCACCGATTCCCTGTATCTCCGCTACTGAAGCATCTAAATTTTAGAGAAAGGCCTCAGATTTTGGACAATGTTTACATAAATTCATGTGCCCAATTTCAAATTATTTCACTTATTTTTGGTCACCGTTTGTGAATCACCCTGTATAGGTGGAAATTAAAATTAATGTGTTTAAGTTTATTAATTCGAGAACACATAACTGATATGTCGAAATTATTAAATAATGTAATCTATCAAAGGAATATCTTGTATTCTTGTTGCTCTAACATAGCCTTCTACAAAGACATACAGAAAAACACATATTTCTTGCCCATGAAGTGTTTTTGGTATCAAAAAACGTTGACTTCATTTGATAAGATTTTTAGGAAAAAATTTGAATTTATTTGAATTAACATAATACCTTCAAGATATAGCAACACTGTATCTTGTCAATGAAACAGAAAAAAAGTTCGATAGCTCTTAATTTATTAGTTTCTTGAACACATATTTGGCATCAAAGTTATGTTATTCCAATAGTTCAAAACTACAATAAACAATGATAATCAGTTGACAAGTTATCATTGCCTTAATATATGAGATACTATAACATTTATAAATATTTATTATAAAGCATACAATCAAAGTTAACTAAAAAATTAATATGTTCTCTTGCTCTATTACAACACTTAAGAACATATTTGAAGGAAGAAAATTAACGAAAGAAGTATTATAGAAAAATATTCGCTTAATAATGTATAGAACACTTTTAAAATAATAAACTAAAACAATAAATAAATAGCTGGTGTCCCAAAATTCAAGCAATATTTGCGCTATTTCGTGATAAAGTGTGGCCAACGAAAAAAAAAAAAACTCTCGCCGTCCTTCAACAGTAAGTAAGTTCGTGAGAGTATTGCTGAGAATCCAGGAACATCAATTTAGCACCCCGGTCAAGATTTTAACATTTCGAAAATCTCTCTACAAAATATCCATCTTATTTCTCCCTTTCACGAATTGTAATATGAATGATTAATAGAAGGTGTTTATAATAAATTAAAATTACTTGAATCACACCAAATTCCGCATTGCTGCACTGCAGTGTTAGGCAATTTGTCAACCACTTGTCAACAGCTGAGATTTATTACCCAGTCGCCCAGTTCCGCTCTCTGTGTATGCTGTTTGCCCGCGCGCGCATTCTTCAACTAGGCGTATACATTTCTACCACCTCCACCTATAGTTTGACCAGACCTGTATATGAGTATGGTTAAATAAATATGGGAACAAGTTTTTCAAATAATTCAATGCCGATTTGCTGCGCCATAGACCGAACAGGGTACATACTGCCAACCTCTCGGTTCTTCAATTGAGATCGGAAAGACTATACTTAGAGATATTCGTTTTGGGTTCTAATTTTGAAACCACCTTTTGATAAGGCTTTGGCATAGAAAAAGTATTATTTAATGTAAAAATTGTTTTTTTACTCTACAAGGTGTCCAGAAACGGAGAGGCCCAAACATATAATTTTACAAAATATTGACCAATTTGTATGCCATCAAACTAAACATATTATTCTTAGATGTTCTGAACATTTTCCTTTAAAATTTGTACATTTCATTTATTTCGATAGCATAAACGTTTTTTGAGATAAATCGATTTTGTCAACGTTCAGCTACTAGAATTATTTTTTTGTTTTACGAAGTTTTTTATATACTTAATTAATTCAAATATGTCAAAGTTCAAAAACCTTTGGATATATATGTCATAGTTTAAGAGCAGCATGTCTAAAATTAAAAAAAAATCTACACGGATTGAAAAAAATAAATCGGCAAGTACTCGAAATCGGCCCACCCTTTCTTTCTATCGAATGGAATAAATAAATTCTTTTGGATGAACCCATAGAAATAAGTTTGATAGATTTAGGTCAGGCAACCTAGGTGTCCATAAAGCAGGTGGTGCATAGTCGTACATTTAGCTCATTTTGAACACTTGCCTAGTAAATGTTTATTTTTATTCACTAACTTATTTCCCTTAAACAATTTCATAGGTTTTTGGACTAGCAAAGTTAAATAAACTAAATGCATTAAATAATTTTCTGTTCAACGGTACGATATGTTGTCAAAATTTTGGGAAAATGTGTGTTGGGGCTAGCCCGTTGTAATATAGTAAAATACCGGTTTCAGTGTCAAATATTAGTATCACTTATTTGTAAAACTACGATAAAACTTTATCAAAATATTCAAGGCGGTCTTACAGTTAAAGGTTAGGTACCTCTTTGGAGAAATTAGCAGATTTTATTATTCAAAAATCAATTATAAATACATTTAACATGATTTTGGTAAAATGTAAGGGAGATATATTTAAAATTTAATTCAACGATTGTTTCCAAACTTTGAAGTTTAACGAAATCGATGTCAAACAATTTTAATTTTCATATAATTATTATTAATTTATTTGAAAAATGATATACAGGGTGTTCTGAAGGGTCATGTTAAAAATGAAGTGGTGTACAGAGGAGCTCAAAATAGTTGTAGTACTTCATAAAAAAATGTTTCCTATCGGGCTTCATTGAGGAATTATTCGCCTTCAAAGAAGGAAGTTTGAAAAACAAATTCAATTATCTATGTCGTTACCACGACAACAATGAAATTTAGACAATTTAAGTAACTCATGGCAATGTTAATTTCCAAGTTTAAACTGATATTCAATAAGCCTGAATTATACAGGAGCAGACGAAATTATCCGTTTAAGTTTATACATCTTTGACAGTGTTGCCAAATTTGACATTTTTCTGTCATAATTCGATTGCTCTCTCACTTTGTTAAAAAAAAAAGGTATACCATGTATCAATCCATATCTTGTACCGTTTTTGACAAAATCGAATTTTATTAACAACATACATTTATTGTATCAAAAATGTGATACTAACTTTTTTGTAAAAATCTTGGTTTCTATAAAATTGGAAGAAAAAAGAGAACTGAAAGTAAGATGTTCAATATGTGCATCTTGAACTTCAATGCATTTTCTTGCTCAAACACCTCTGTTGTACTCAAAATAACATGCGGTGGTCATTTCTAATGATGTCGGCGTATGTAATTATGCGATTTAATAATTATATTATATTTATAGGACTTTGATAAACAAGACTTTTAAGATGCCCCCAAAGACAAAAATCGATAGAATTAAGATCGGGACACTGAGGCAGCCACGAAGAAGGACCTCGACCGATCCATCGATCGGGAAATGTGGTATTAAGGAGTTCCTGCAGCAAATGTAGGTATTTATCCCCATTTAAAGGGTCATATGCAAATTCTGTTCTATTTGGAAAGCGGTTGGCGTAAATCAGAACAGCTTCAGAAGCATTACATTATTCAAGTTCGTACATTAGATGAATATCTGCAAACTCTTCATAGCCAAAATCCTCCAAGATATTGAATCAACAAATGGTGTCAAAATGATTTATGACAAATATCTAACTGTTAATTATACATACTTGTTGATAGTCATCTCAATTTCCAAGATAACGCATTTTTGATACAATACGTCATGTATGTTGTTAATAAAATTCGATTTTCTCAAAAACGGTACAAGTTATCGATTGATACATTGATACCTTTTTTTTATCAAATGGAGAGTGGAACTTTGAAAGAAAAATGCCAAATTTGGCAACGCTGTCAAAGATGTCTAAATTTAAATGAATAATTTCGTCTCCTCTTGTATAATCCAGGCATATTGAATATCAGTTTAAACTTGGAAATGAACTTTACCATGAGTTACTTCAATTGTCCAAATTTCATTGTTGTCATGGTAACGACTTAGAAGTTATGACTGGAATTTGTTTTCAAATTTCTTTCTTTGAAGGCGAATAACTCCATAACGAAGCCCGATAGGAAATTTTTTTTATGAAGTACTACTACTATTTTGAGCTCTCCTATATACCCCTTCATTTTTTTCATGACCTCTCGCGACACCCTGTATGTATACTCGACGCAAGATAAAGGTTTCCAAACTAAAAGGCATACTACTTTTAAAGGGGCGATCCGGTGGACTATTAATAGGAATTTTGGGAGGCGTGTCATATTTTTTTGTGCAGGCACGTGTGTAACGACACATAACAAAAAATTGCAGGCCTGAAGTATATGCATTATAAAAAGAGAAGAGTATACAGGTTTTGAAATAATTTTGTCTTGCCACATTATTTTTCTTGTCCCTGAGAAAATTAATACGTTGAAATAAGAATTTGTGTCATATTCTGCAGAAAGTAGGTAGGTAGGTCATGAAAGCAACAAAATAAAAAAAATATTGTAAACTACAGTTTTATTATAACTTATACAGTTTCGGGAGGAAAGGGAAATATTTTAAGGACGTGTTCTGGAACTGAAAATAAGTAAATAAGTTCATGACATTATGGGTCCGGAAATGTTTCCTTTCTGAGATAGATGTCGAAAGAAATTTAATATCCGGTTTTTTCTAAATATCTCGAAAACGATTTACGATATTACACTGCCACTGTACTATACACCAAAGCTCAGTGTAATATCTTAAATCGTTTTCAAAATATTTAGAAAAACAGGATTTTTTAAATTTTACATCTATCAGAAAAAAAGCATTTCCGGGCCCATAATGTTATGAACTTATATAATTATTTTGACAACAATGAAAAAACAAAACGAGTTATCACGGAAATATTATTTTTGGGGGTGAACATGAGGGTTAGTTTGCATCCATTTTAGGCTAAAACAAAAAATATTAGTCGTTATTAATATGTATTTACCTTTTTGAGATTAACAATGGATATTGAGCATACAATAATTTAAAGAAACACAGGTTTACTGACGCACGCGCATTGACAATAGCGAACTAAATAATCTATCTTTGTCATAAGCATACGAGTTGTCCACAACTTCGGAACCATGAGTGCGACAAAGCGAACGTGATTTTTTATCTTTGCCCTGGCAGTGTCCTAGGAGCTAAATAAAATTCAAAATATAAAAAGGTAAATAAATTTGTATCTGTCTAAAAAACAAACGTAAAAAAAATTCGAAGGCAACTTTTCATTATTTTAAATAATCAATCGAATAGTATAGAAAAAAATTGTTTAGTTTTGTTACATCATTAAAATTAACAATTAAAAATTTGAAATTGTTATAACTTTCGTATTAAAAATTAAAAATTATATCTATTTCTCTGAAAAGAAAGTTTACATTTTTTAGAGTAGATTGAAAAATAAAATTACAAAATTCATTCATTTTTCTGCTTGTTATGATTTTTTTAAATTACTGAAATTTTCCCTTAATTCCCGCCTCCCTAACTCTGTTAATTTTAGTAGTACAAGAAAAAGTCAAGAGGCCATTTTTATGTAGAATTGTATGCTTTACAACTTTTATAAAAATTCAACCGATTTCATTGCGGGCACCTATGCAGTGTTCATTAATGGCGTACAGAAAAACCAGAGGCCCATTCTGTGGCAAAAATTAAATAAATTTTGTTACACACATGTGGGCTCTTAAGGCCTCCGTTTCCGAGCTGCAGGGTTTTCAAAATTTAAAAAAAATAATATCATTTTTAATTTTCTTAAATCCATTCAATCTAACTATTCGTAAGTAGGTAGTAGACGTTTCGTAAGATTTATTAACTAGGATGAATCGATTTTTCTATTGTAATGTAAATGCAACTCTTTTAATAGAAACAAGATAATAAAAAATGCATACGGGGTCTGCTATAAGAGTTTGACGATTAGTCCCATTTTGAAAATGCCAATCTACCAGGAAAGCATTTTTGTACAAAACCCGTAAAATGTCAGATGTGACGGTAAAATATTGCCACACAAGTTTAAAGGGAACGCCCCATATAGACAAGCGGTTAAGCCGTCATGTTTAAAAAAAAATACGATTCAGATTGGAAACCTTTATCTTGCTCGAATGTAGTAAAAGTACGGATATAAATAAATTAACATTAAATTGTTATCAAGTCAATATTTTATTTAATTTACATTCATTGAAAATTAATAGTGCCAAATAAATTGCTCCTAAGTGATTTTTTGTAGGTGAATACTCTATAAAAACGTAATCCTTTGAATAAAAAATTGTAATATAACATATTAATATAAAAATCGGACAAAAAATACATTTAATGTTTATTTTTCAAATAGAGTTTTTGATTATTGAATCTAGATGTGCATCAATGATAACAATATATTCTTTTAAAATAAGTAGTTTATTAATTTCCAACTCTTCTTATGAAACTACATTATTTTGGAATAGGATACAAAATTAAAATAGTGCCTGAAATTGCCTATTTCAAGTTTTTTGTAGCTGTATCTGCAGTACCGCTCTTTCTTCAAATACAACGAGGTAAATATAACCCTCCACCTTCGTAAGAAAAGGTTAACTTCAGTATCACAAAAAACGTCACGCCTGCGTCGATAGAAGGTAATTATTCTCTTTTTATACAAAACATGTTTTCATAAACAAATACTACGATTCCAGAGGCAAATATTTACGAATTTTTCCATCAGCTGTCACCATACCCTTATCATCTATTAATTACACAATGTATCGTATCCTTTTGATGCGATATTATAGAACAATAAACAAAATATCGGGTAGAGGGGTCGATATGTATTTGTATAAAAAGCAACGCGTCGGGGTCCAAAATCAGACTGGGTTTGTAGTGGCAAACATGAAGTTCTCGCTTATCCTGCTGGCGGGTCTCTGCACCCTGGCCTACTCTGCTGTTTTGCAAGCGCACAAAGTCAAAGGTAAGCCCTGCCGTTCTATTTGTTTTTTTATGTGCGCTGTCTAAGCTACTACAGGAAAGTAAATGCTGCACTTCGCTAGTTTTTCAAACAGGTTTTTAAGCCTTTTTGGAAAAAAGCAATTCGTTTTATTTTCTTAAATTCTTTTGTTCAAAGCAAACTTAAAGGAATTATATTCCTATGCTCCTGTAGCTAATAATATTTTTTAATGAATTTCAACTATTTTAAGAAATTCGGAGGTTACTTTAAAATTTTTTAATTAAAAAAAAATAATTTACAATACTTCTATTGCTTACACAATCTATATTTGTGCACAAAGTTTTTTTGAGGTTAGGTTTATTACCATGTATATCAAATATTGTAATGTAAAATTTCCATCCAAGGAAACTATTTTTGAAGCATGACCTATTCGTTTCCGGGCACCCTTTATGTGGTTATATGTATACCTAATTTTTTCCCAAAAACTGTCCGTTTTCAGCAATTCCAACAGGGGAGAAAATAAAATTTTACATTTTAAGGTACGTACTTGTACATCGTAAGAATTATATCATAAATTGTGAGAAATTTCATAGAATATCACTGGGTAAGGTAATAGCTAGTGATCTCTCTCAAATGGTCCAAAAATAACAAAACTAATGCATTTAGAACCCTTGGTACTTACCTGTACAAATTGTGAATACATTACGCTGTTTTTCGTAAGTGATACAATAATGATATGACTTAGTTTTAAAAAATTTCTTATGGCGCCCAATAACTCAAAAACCAAAATATGACTGTTCATGAGTCACAGGAAGTTTTATCGGTTCCCAAATTTATAATAATTTTTCCAAAACACCCTGTACAGTTCCATATAATAACGTTTCTTTCAAAGTCCTTTTATAGCCTGGATTGTATATAACTTTTATTTCTAGTTGACCAAGAATACATTCAAAAGCAGAAGCAAATTTGGCATTTAGTTGATCACATCAACCAACCAAGCCATTATCATGAACACATAGAGATTGCTAAATCTTACCATATTGAAGACCATGTGGATCAGTACACAGTAAGTCACATCATAATTCATTGAGCTCTTCTTTTCTCCAGTAGATTTTCTTCATTAAACTGCCAGTTCCAAATTTTACATTTTTAGAAAGCGGATGTGGTCAAGAAGTTCACCCAGTACTGGAAATACGGAATGCTTCCAAAAGGTGAAATCTTCTCCATAATGTACCAGGACCATATGGAGCAAGCCATAGCCCTCTTCCAGATGTTCTACTACGCCAAGGATTATCAAACCTTCTACAAAACCGCAGTCTGGGCCCGTCAGCACGTCAACGAGGGTATGTTCCTTTACTCTCTTTCGGTAGCAGTGGTACACCGTCCCGATACATACGGAATCATCCTTCCTCCAATCTACGAGGTCTATCCTCACTACTTCTACAACACTGAGGTCATCCATCAAGCTCAGGTATATAAACAGCAACACTACGACCAGCAACATCGCGAAAAACATGGGGATTACGATTACACCATCGTTGCTAACTATTCCGGTCACTACCTGAACCTTCATCCAGAACAATCCATGTCCTATTATCTTGAAGACGTAGGTCTCAACGCTTTCTACTACTACTACCACCTGTACTATCCATTCTGGATGTCTGGTGAAGAGTACGGACTCAAGAACGACAACCGTGGTGAACTGTTCTACTATATGCACCAGCAAATACTGGCGCGTTACTATTTAGAACGTCTTAGCAATGGACTTGGTGAAACTGCTTTCTTCAATTGGGATGTACCTGTTGAAACTCCGTATTATCCATCCCTTGAGTACCCCAACGGGCTCGAATTTCCTTCCAGGCCTAAGTTTGCTGACCTTCATGAATACTTCTACAACTACGGACAAAGCTGGACAACCAGAGATCAATACGGATACAGCCCATCAAACGTCAAAGATGCTGAAAGGCGCATTAATGACGTAATTGATTTTGGCTACGCTTATACTGTAAGTAAAAAATTATTGAAACTGTTTTAATATGATTATATTCACCAAACAGTTATTCATTTGTTTTGCTTTGTTCTAGAATGAAGGCAAGAAAGTCGCCTTGTTCACCAAAGAAGGCATGAATGTGCTTGGTAATCTAATCGAAGGTAATCAAGATTCTCCTTACCAAGAGTTCTATAGACCCATTTGGTACTATGCTCGTCACCTTCTTGGATATTCCTACCAAGCTTTAGACAAACACCATGTCGCACCATCAGCTTTAGAACACTTTGAGACTTCAATGAGAGACCCAGTCTTCTATCAGTTGTACAAGAAAATAGTCCTGAAATTCCAAAGATACAAGCTCCGTCTTCCTGCTTACACTGAACATGATTTGACTTTCCAAGGAATTAAGGTGGTAAATGTTGAATTCGAACGTCTCCTTACATACTTCGAGAAGTTCTACTCAGATATCACCAACGCTGTATATTATACTTCTGAAGAACTAGACAGCAACAAACATCCACACTTCCGTGTTGAGCAGTACCGCCTTAACCACAAACCTTTCAACTACAAAGTCGTTGTTAAATCCGATAAAGAAACCAAAGCTGTGGTTAAAATCTTCATTGGGCCAAAATATGACCAGTACGGACGTCACATTAACATCACCGAGAACAGACTGAATATGTTACAATTCGACCACTTCGTCTACGATCTCAAAACTGGAGAAAACGTCATTACACGCAACTCCCAAAGTAGTTACTTCTACGGACCTGATCGTACTTCTTATTATGATCTGTACAAGCAAATTTTGGGTGCTGGCAATGGACAAACAGATTACTACGTCGATGGAAGACAGAACTACTTCTACTTCCCACAAAGGTAACAATCAATTAAGATTATACGATTCACACAACTCTACTAACTCTTTTGTTATAGATTCATGTTACCTAAAGGTACCCAAGATGGTATGACCTTCCAGTTCTACGTTATCGTCTACCCTTACGTGCCATACCACGGACAACAAGAACACCATGAACAGGATCATCGTTTCAACTACCCTAAGGTCGGAACTGGAGGGCTGTACATAGATGGATATGCCCTTGGGTATCCACTTGACCGTAACATCAAGTACGAGAAGATGTGGTACCACATACCCAACTCTTATTTCTACGAAACCAAAATATATCACAAGCACAGTGATGACGACAATATCCATCATCATCTCCATCATGAACATTAGACTGATCCATAAGACTATGTAAAAAGTTTTATATTTTTACAAATATATTGTTTGCAATAAAAAAGTTATATTATTTGCTTCCTTCAAAACTCATACGGTGATGTGGTGATTCCTTAGCGATATTCCATTTTTTTTCAATTTCAGTAACAAAAATGAAATTAAAACTAATAATAAAGCAAATTCCATTCATTGCTTTCGTTCTCAGAATTCAAATCTTTTAAAAAGTTAACAACCTTATGAAAAGTTTAGTGAGTGTTTATCTACTTGATTGGTAGACATTTTCAGTGTAATCAAGATGCACATACTGCAAAAATTTTATATACGCTTTTGTACGAGGATTCAAAAGAAACTTAGTTTTAGAGTTCTTAAAATATTAGAAGTCTAAACTGATGACGTGGCAATCAGGCTGGAAATCGTTCAACCATTGGCAACTGCCAGGAAAACCTGCAATCCAAGCTATTTATCTTATTTCTCGTTGTGAGATTGCAAGGTAGATAAAAATTAGTTTGTTAAAAACAATCTCTAACTGACCGTTGTGGCAAAGAGGTTATTTAATTACAAAATACACAAGAAAAAGATAAAAACAGCTTTAGAAATGCCACAAATAAATACTTTCATATAACCAAATGGCATTAGTTATTAAACAGAAAAAAAAATTCTCAAATTTTAATAATTTTACGTATTCTAAAAAATTGCAATTGCAATTGCAATTTAATTAATTTTATTAGGTGCTAAAAATAAATTTTCTCTTTTATCTTTGTTATGTTAGGTTATCTTTGACTGAATATTTTAATATGTATACTTAAACTGTCAGCAACGTAACTTTCTGCAATTGACACTGATTTCCACCCACCATGTCTGGATTGCTGATACATCAACTCCTGTACTAGCCAGAAACGTTACCGATGTTCTTCGGAATGAATGGCCTGTATATGTTTCAAGATGTTCTAGTTTCAAAAACTGTGCAATCTTATTAGTATAGATGTTTAGATGCCAAAATAAGTTTAATTCAAGACATCGTTGTCTAGTAAGATAAACACTTCTTCGAATATTGGTTAAGTTTGAGTATCTCTCTAAATAATAGTAATTTTATAATTATTGTTAAAATTTCGTCTTTACTTGGTTCGTCTTGTCATATTCGAAAAAATATTACGATAAGTAATTTTATTGCATATTTTAACAAATTTCTAGCAATACAATTAGTAGAAAGGAGATTGAGAATATAAGTATGTCTCTTTTATGATATGTTTTAAAAATGTCGGATATAATATTACAAAATTGCATGTCTCGTTATGTTATAATAATTTTATTGTGAAGACTGCAGTTAGACAATGTGTAATATATGATTTTATTGCAGTTCGAATAGTATTGTTGCAGTTTTACATAGTAAAGTGAAGAAGTTACAATATACTTTCTTAACTTTCCCATTCCTTATAAAAACTAGAGTTAGGTCCATATTATACTTGACAATTGTTTTGTTAAATGAAATAATAATATAGTAACAATTTCAATTTCAATTTATTAAATATTTTAGTAAGTGTTCCACTGAAATTAAATTAATTAATAAGACGTCAATTTAATATTTTAATTAAGAAAATCATTAACGTGAAATTCTTGCTCATGTCTAGAGATGAATATATTTTCATCTCTTTAGCTCTAGACTAGAGATATGTACGAAAACGCTGTGTTTCCGAGATACATGGTATTAAAGTTTTCTAATAAATCTATGTTGTTTTTCTATAGCACATCGTAAAATGGGTTTTTCACAACTTATGGATAAAGAACATTAATTTGTTTATTGTTATTTATTGATATACAACTCATTTCATCTTGAATCAACACGAACTTTAACAGTACAATTAGCATTGCCAAAATGTTTCTACTTGAAACAGATTGTTTTTCGTATAACGAATATACAAGACGTAGAACTGCAAGAATTTTCTGTTTCTTCACTGGGTATTTCCTTCGATACTTCAACTTTTCTCGCTACTAAGTTCTATATAAGCTTTGGCTACTGAAAATGACTTCCATCCTGCTACGTTTGTGACCAGTAAGTATGACCACTATACATTTCTAAATTTGGTAACTTCAAACAACCTATCCAATATCTCTACATCACTTTTATTTTCAATATACAGATCGAACATAATTTAACATTGAATTTGGTAGTATGTGATAGTAATTTGAAGATAAATATGAACATGTGTTAAAATATGCTGCCTCTTCAGAAGTACAAAACTGTCTACAAAATCAATAAGTATTATTTCATATATCTTTAACTTTCTTCACAACTAAGTGGAGGAAGGGAATTAAGTAAATTAAAAAATCGTATGTACATTTCTATGGTATCAATATATTTACAATTTCGTATGAGATATAAATCTACTGTTGTGGTACAGCGTTAATGTTATCTCTAAAGTAAACATTTGCTTCATAGAAGTAAGAATTTGGAACGTCGTAGAAGAACTGCTCGTTGGAGATAAATCTATCGAACGGATAACCAAGGGAGTAGCTGTCGTAGAACTGCTGCTGCCCTTCGAATGGATAGTAATAGCTTTCGTATTCCTTACTCAGTTGACTCTGCCTGGGTTGGTATGGGTAGACAATGACGTAGAACTGGTAAGGGGTACCTTGTGCACTACCTTTTGGCAAGATGTACCTGAACGGAAAAGAATTTAGTAACAACTTTTAAAAGTACATATGTTCGAAGTCTTACCTTTGTGGGAAGTAGAAGTAGTTCTGCTTGGTGTAGGAGAAGCTCTGTTGTCCTCCTAAGGCACCTAATACCTGTCTGTAGAGGTCAAGGTATGAGGTGGAGTCAGGAGCGAAAAGTGGACTATCATATGAATTGCGACTAATAATGTTATCTCCAGCATTCAATTGGTATACGAAGTAGTCCAGCAAGACAAAGTTAAGCCGGTTCTGGGTGATGTTGATGTATCTTCCATACTGGTCGAATTTTGGACCAAAGAACACTTTTACAACGCTTTTGGTTTGCTTCTCAGATTGTACTGTGATTCTATAAGTGAAAGGTCTATTGTTAAGACGATATTGACGCACACGAACATTAAAGTTGTTGTTTTGTTGCTCTTGGGGAGAGTAGTATACAGCATTGCTGATGTTGACATAGAAGGGATCGTTGTATGTAATCAAACTGTCACTGGAGAAGTTTGTGACCTCAACACCTTGATAGAACAACTCCTTTGCTCCATATGGTTGTTGGTAGTAGAAATATCTCTGGAAATCCAAGATAATTCTTTTGTAGAGTTGGTAGAAGGCTGGGTCGCGCAGGGCTGTTTCAAATTGTTCCAAAGCAGATGGGGCAATTTGATTATTGCTCAGTGGTTGGTAAGAGTACCCAAGGAGATGACTTCCATACAACCAGACAGCACCGTAGTACTTGTAGTTGGGAGAGTCTGGGTTAGCCTGGATAAGGTTTCCGAGGATGTTAAGACCTTCTTCTGAGTAAAGATTTACTCTTCCTTCAGGCTACAAGAAAATTAACAATTTTATATAAGATTACGTAGTTTTACACTTAACTTACACTATATACGTATCCTGAGTCAATGGCGTCGCTGATGCGTCTCTCGTAGTCCTGTATGAGGCTGTAGCTGTATCCGTATGCACCTCTAGTAGTCCAGCTCTGTCCATAGTTGTAGAAGTATTCGTATAGGTTAGCATATGCAGGCCTTGAAGGGAATTCCAGGCCATTCGGGTATTCCAAGGATGGGTAGAACGGCGTCTCTACTGGAACGTTCCAGTCGAGGTATGGTATATCGCCCAAACCGTTGGAGAGGCGTTCCAAATAGTAACGAGCCAGAAGTTGCTGGTAGAAGAAGTAGTATTGCTCACCACGGTTTACGTTTTTGAATCCATACTCTTCGCTGCTGAACCAGAAGGGATAGTAGACATTGTAGTAGAAGTAGTAGGAGCTGATACCAACATCTTCGAGGTAGTAAGACAGATACTGTTCTTGGTTCAAATTGAGGTAGTACCCAGAGTAGTTGGCATTGATTGTGTAACCGTTAAATCCACCGCTCTGTACGCTTTGTCCTCCGTACTGTTGCTTGTAGACATAAGCTTGTTGGATAACTTCAGATGGGAAGAAGTAATATGGGTAGATTTCATAGATTGGCGGGAGTACTATGTTTCTGGTGTCTGGACGGTGGACAACGGCGACCACGAAGGAATACAAGAAAAGTCCTTCGTTGACGTTTTGGCGTGCCCACACGGCTGTGTTGTAGAATGTCTCGTAGTTGTTGGCGAAGTAGAACAGTTTGAACAAGGCGATGGCTTGTAGTAGCTGTTCCTTGTAGAACACGGAGAATAATTGGCCTCTAGGCAACAGGTTGCCATAATTGTAGTATTGCAAGAATTCCTGTACAATGCCTTCTTTCTGAAACCAACATTACTATTTATAAACTGAATTATTATTTTATTTAACGAACTTACCTTGTAGTTGGCAGCGTTTTGAGATATGTTGTAACTATTACCGATTTGGACGTATTGTTCGTGAAAACTGGGTTGATTTAAGTTTTCCAGAATCTGTAGTACATCTTTTTGGATCTTCAGAAACGCTTTATCAGCTAAAAGAAGACATAGAACATATGATTTACGTTCAAAGCGTTAATTATAATTTTAGTGTTACCAAATCAACCCGAAAACAAAAAATCATTGATTAATTACTTAGATTGTGTAATTTAGTTTAATATTGTGAAAAAATGTATTAATCAGTATTACAATATTGGATAATTAGTAATTCTCAAGCTAAATATGTGCATGTATTCTAGTTGTAGAAGAAAATATTGATTTTTTGAAACATAAAGCAAACGATCCTTGACAAAAATGTTTACAAATTAATGTAAAATATAAACTAAAACTATACTAGAGATAGAACTGAGAGAATATAAATATATGCAATGACATTGAAATTTTTTAAGGTTTATACACCATGTGTAGCACAAGTAAATCATTTCTCTGTAAAAGTTGTTTAATCCGTTAATTTATAGCAAAGTGTTGGTACACTTATCTATCACATCATATAATTAATATAACTTAGTTTCAGACTGGTATTTGCCAATATGCGCTTTTAAGATCAAGGAAAATATATCACAAAACGATAGCCCACTTGCTCCATATCAAAATGCACATTTAGTGCATAGGCGAGGAAAGAGTACATATTTTGATTTAGATAAAGAATGCAACATCTCGGGTAGGCGTTTTATGTCTCCAAAAAGTTTATGTAAATGATGAAGAATTGTTTTATGAAATAATATTTTTATTATTATTTTTTTTAATATGGCGTATAACTCTAAAGTACATACAGTTGGATTACCTTCAGTAATTAAAAATATTATGCCTTCAAGTAACTATTGTAAGTTAACTATGTTAGATATGGTTCAAGATATATTTTTTCAGACATGTAATAAAAAAATTTTTGTCTTTTCAATATACTTATTACATTTTATCTGCTCATATCAGAGGATTGAATAAAAATTGGTTTTGAAACAACAAAAAATGTGACTATCCGAGTAAAAAAAAACTTTCCAAGAACTTCATATTTTTTAAAAATAATTGTGTAGAAATTACACTAAAATTAAAATTAATAATTTGAATGTAAATTAAAAATAAAAATAATAAATTAAAAACTAAATATGAAAATTAAAAAAGTTTCTTACCAACTACCTGCTCCTTGGTGGCTGCGCTGTGGACAGAAAGGGCGCAAAGGCCGGCTACGAGAAGTACCAAAGCAAGCTTCATGCTCAACTCTACACAAACGACCAAGTATGAAAATCCACAGAATCGCACACCCTTTTATACAAAAGCAGTTCTGTCCCCCGCCGCGACCTATCGTCATTCTTATCAAGTTGGCGGAGTTATTTCCAATTCCAAGAGATTACATCGCATGAATAGGCGCGTAAAATTTTGCAAGTAATAAATCGGAGTGTTTGCCAATTTTCTAAATTTTTGCCATAACAGACTAGCGCTTTTCTTAACCAAAGATGCACATTTTAATCAAAGAGCTTTTGTTTGATTCATACCTTGGATACTGGATTTGAACTACAAAATAAAAAGTTAGATTTCCATTTTTCAGACATTTGTTTTGATATACAGGGTGTCCGCAAATTTCACCGACAACGTTTGAATATTCACGACGATAAATAAATACGATCTACGGAAAAAAGTTAAATAAAAATTTAATTAATAATTTCACATCCCTTTTTCCGATCGCGTTAAAATTTGGCACATTTATTTAGATTATTATGGCGTATTATTTCTTAAACCTTTATTCAAATCGATGTACCGGGTGGTAGTTTTTTCCAAATACTTCCCCCTTTTAGCGGACAAAATTTTTACAGTGGTCATATTTTTTTAAAAAGGTCAACAACATGATCGTTTTATTAAAAAAGGCCGTTTTATTAAAAAAAATGTCTCTTGAGAAAATCACCTACAGAAAATTATTCTTCAGACAGACAAACGTTGTTGGTGAGTTTTGCGGACACCCTGTAAATAAAGCATTTTTCAAACAAGGTAGTTTTATACAATTTGTATGAACTACAGATTAATCACTTCTTTCTAGACTTCCTGATACGCTAGGAATTTGTTTTGCTTTGGTCGATTCCGTTGCATACTGTTTACTCTTATTAATTCAATTATATTAAATTAAAAAATTAAAGAAAAAATAATTAATATTATTAATTATTGTTATATTGTATCAAACATAAAATATTTTACCATGTCATAATTTTGCTTTAACTTCAAATAAAATAGAACTTATTGTTCTTATACTTTGGCATTGCAACTTTTTACACGTATTCAAAAGCGTTGTTTTGAAAAAATATATTGAATCAAACGTACATTTATTTGCGTGTTTATATATGAATAATAAATCTGAATTGTCTAAAAAATTGAAATAGTTTGTTGTTTTTAATGCAATATTTTAAATAAAATTGTGACAATATTTCTACAAAAATGTCTCTCAATAGTAGTGATCAAAACTTTCCATTTTTAAAATAATCATTAAAATCGCTGACCTCTAAAAAATAGCAAAGTTGACTGACTTATATAGAGGAATAATTTTGATTTTGCACCAAAAAAAATATTTATTTGTTAATTATAGCAACTAATCAACTAAATTAGAAAGCCAACTTGCAAAGGTCAACTTCGTAGTGTAGTTCATTACACTATTTCAAAAATAATTTTAAAAGGCTGCAGAATTTTTGACTGGACTCTACACACAAACATTTTAGGAAATATTTTTTGATATTCTAAATTACTGATAGTTAAAATAAGTTTTTATTTTAACGTGGATTTTGTTCATTAATTTCAGTTTTCTTAAAAGAAAATCTACACCATAACTAATAGTAGTATCAGAAAAGCTAAATTTTTCCGTAAATTATTATTTAAAATAAAATTATGAATTGTTAGATAGGGCTCAGTTATACATATCATAGTCGCTTTTTCATAGCTAGAGGCTGATGCAACAGGAATCCTTATTGTAAGACGATTATTTTATCTCACTCAAAAGTATCAAATTTGTTAATTACAATCACTAAAACTGGTAATCGTCTATCATTTTTTTTGTTTGTTTATAAATATTTCATTGACTGCATAAATATTTTTTTTATCAGTGCTCACTAATTTATTAATAAGACGTGACATGATTGGCAAAAAAAGAATTTAAGCGTTTGAATTTGAATGCATATATTTCTGAAACAAGTGTTAAACTAATACAACAGATAGGAAATGTAATTTTAAGCAAAAAGTTACGTTTTTAAAAAGGTTGCAGGATGACAAAGCTACAATGTCAAAATGTTTTTACGGCAAAAAGATATATTGAGATTGATAATCGGCATCGTTTCCGAGGAAATTGGTCGATAATAATCAACAATAAACATTCTTGGGTATTTTAACAACATATTCCTAAAATCTTTGGTGATACATTAAATCAATTAAAATAATAAAAAAAAACTAATCGTGACTATCTTACAGATAATCACCAACGTCAGTGATCCTAAAATCTGTTCTTCTCATTAGCTTCCACGTTTCAATAGTTCTTAAATATGGCACTAAAGGCGGCCAATACCAATTTCCTTACTAACTTCTTATTTTAATTTGCATAAGTAAAATTTATGGCGCTTTTGAGTCTTGAAATTTATATGATCAATTAAAGTAAAAACGTTTACTGTACATATAGATATTTTTGTACAACATAATAAAATGTTTTTTTTTAGTTTTCGTAATAGTTAAAGATTAAATTAAGGAAATTTTACTGCACAAATTTTATTGAAATAGAAAAATAGTTACATTTATAGAAATATTTCAAAGATAATAGCGATAGTATCCTTTACTGATTGTTTTTCTATTGCATAATACCCTTTTCTTGTCGTAAAATTCGTATTGTTTAGTGGAGGTCAAAAGCTCAGACAGTGGTAACAAAATTAGACCACAAGTAAGAAATGTTTTACTCATTTAGATAAGAACTTTTACAAACTTTGATAATTCACTTTGCTGGGTTCAAGTCGTGATTTTCTATCAGTTTTGTAAGAGGTATCAAGAGGATACTATTCTGATTGTTATTTATTAATGATTTTTAAATATTAATTCATTATTCTTACTAAATGCAGATGTCCTGAAAGCCAAATAAGAGCAGCAAGAACAAAATCTGGAAGAAAAATAAATCATCAAAGAACACTTCATTGATTATGTCCTTTTTAGTTATAAGACTGTATTTCATGGTACTGGAGTGACAAACTGACATAGCAGCCACTGTTGCTCTGCTGAAAATCCACATTGGCATTGAAAAACCGATTTCGAAGAATTACTCAAGCGTCGAATTTACTTGAATTTCTTGAAAAACTGTGTTAATAGAATGGTCCCAATAAAATGATGTGCTTCATACAGCATTGATTGGCATAGATGGCTCTGTTTCATGACCAACAAAATCTGATGAACTTCCACCTTGGACTTTTTCTTTAGATACAATATACTTTACTGAAACCTACAGCACCAATTGCGATATGAGAAATCCTTACGCTGATATTTTATAACAAACTCTGTTCCAAACTATCCTGCCGAAAATGACTTACATTTAAGAAAATTGTGGGACCGGAACACAATGTATCCAGTAGATCGTAAAAAAATTGACTAAATATAATTTTTTAATAAGTGAACCGCAAAAAGTTACAGACATAAATTGTCCAAAATAATGAATGGACATTCCAGAATAAAAAATATTGTTGATGGAAATGGTCGAAAGCCCTTAAAGAGTTGTCAATTTCAAGAAAATCTAGAACTTTCTCAATAATGCTACAACTTAAATTTTTTTATATAAAAGTAAGTAAAAGTATTTTTTAAATATTAAGCTGTCTCCATTAAAGTTGTCTGTATTCAAATTCCTACAAAATATATTCCTATAAATATACAGGGTGTCCCAGAATAACATGTACAACGGAAGACCACACAAACTGAAATTACAGTCAATCTACAAAATCAGTCTACTAGCACTTTGTTAAGTATTGTAATATGGGTGGTAAGATAATGTATACATTTAAAAAATATTTTTTTGTACCCAAACCTCTCAAAATTCTATAAGAGGCTCAAAAACTTCCAAATGGTATCACCTATCAAATAGAAAATAGTTGTCATTATGCCCGAAAGAGGAAAAAGTTAGGAACATTAATTTTGTAGGTGTTGTAAGTTTTAAAAAATACTCTGTATAACACCAAAAGCTGTAGATTGAAAGCAAAAGTTCACACCCCAAAAATAATTAAACGATTAATACATAATCGAGTTATTTACAAAATTCAAAAAATTTTCACGAACTTTTAGGCCATCTAGCGGCCAAACGAAGCGATTTCGGATATAGGTGAATTAGCCTAAATCTGCCTATTTTGAGTCCACGAATCTGTGGTCTTTCGTTGTACACGTTATTTTGGGACACCCTGTGTATTCTGAAGCTTAAAATAACATTGCGGAGTATTTAAAAATTGACTAATATCAAAATAAACAAAAAGAAAGAAAAACTGCATCAAAAACTGATGTAGGAAAATTACGTTAATAATACATTTTAGTTATCTTAAGTTATAATTATATTCCTTCTTTTTACAACAAGATAAGCCCCACATTTCAATTCCAACTCAGACAGACGTATTGAGAATATTATCTGTTTATATTTATTGAATATTAATTAATGAATCATATGTGTGCGTTACACATGCTAAATTAATTTTATTGTTTAAGGAAACTCAAGGACATACAAAACTGTTATTTTGGCATAAGTATGGTCAGTAATTAAAATCTATCACGTTCTTCCTTATCACCAGCGACTTCGCCATTTTTTCAAATATGTATGACGTAGCTGTGGCTGTACCTACATAACTAACTATTTGTATATTAAAATTAATATAATAAACCCGTGATGATTTTAATGAATTAAGCATTAATGCATCTTTAATATTTTTTTGCACGACATTTCAACATCTAAAAAAAGGGTTTAAAGAGAAATATGCAATATTTTCTATTACTTTCTTTTTGGCACAGTGGCTTAACTACCGCACAACAAAAGGAAGTAGTGTGGGAGCGCCAAAGCCACTAGATGGCCCAGAGTCTCCTCCTAGCTCCATTCTATTCGACTAATTTCAACTGAAGGCATTGCTTTTATTTCCCTAGATTCTGTCGACAAATATTTAAGGTTGCTCACCTTACTGGGATGTTCAATCTAGTTGGTATTCATATTCCCAAATAGTATTTAATTTAATACTTAAAAAAGTTGTTAAAAATTATCGTTTATATGGAAGTTTAAAGTAAACTCTTACAATAAAGTCACATATAAAATGAAATTTTTTTTTTTTTTTCAGATATCACGAATCTTCAAAAAATAGCAGATTCGCACCAAATTTGGTACACCGGGAATTTTCGGGGTCGCTGATCACTGATCCGAGGTCAATTTTGCAAAATTCAAGATGGCTGATCCAGGATGGAGACCAAATTTTCAAAAAAAGAACAAATTCGCGCCAAATTTGGTATACGGGGATTTTCGCTGATTACGAATTTGAGGTCAGAATTGCGAAATTCATTTTGTAAAATTTTTGTTTACTTTATAACCTGAGTACCCAATCATGATTTAACCTTCTTTTTTTCGGCTATATCTTGTTCTTTTTTCTGTAAAAAATCTATTTACGGGTTTTCTGCCTGATCTCAGGTAATAAAGTAAAGTATAAATAACATTTAAAACGTCAAATTAACATTGTTTGACAGCAGCCTACTCGAAAATTTTTGTTGAGGTTCATTTTAAAGTTTATCGACAGAATCTAGAATCACTCTTCCGAAAAATCTATTTTGCCATGAAACTATAAGAGTTAGGAAAAATGTGAATGTACACAGTAAGGCCGTATTAATTTCTCTTTATAATTTAATGAGTCTGAGTCCCCATAACTCCGCCACTGGTTGCTTGCGGGACTTCTACTTCTATGGAAAAATGGTATGTTATATGATGTGTCATGCCAAATTTGGCTTAAATAGCCTTCTTCATTTAGAAGTTATTTAAAAAATTCGAATTTTTTTAAAAATCTTTAACGCCCTATATTTCGAAAATGAAGCGTCTCTGGAAAAAAAAATACATGATTTTCTTTCTTATTTTTGTATGAGGAATATCTCCCTAAAGTTTATCGACTTAATCCTGAAACACCCTGTATATAAACACCAAACTTTGAGAAAAAAGTTACATTTTGAAACGACAGTTTTAAGACCTTTACATAGTTTGTCTCCGTTTGATAAAATTTTTTAGCAAATAATTTTTTGAATATGCTTGAATTAGTTTATTACTATTAGAATAGAGTAAAACATAATTTTTATGTTGGTTTTTGTTCGTCGTTCTCCGTTGCACTTGAAAATAGCCAGATGTTATAACATAATGTTATTTTTATTCAGCTAATACTGAGATTGACCTATTAAATGTTTACAATAATTTGAAATTTCTTTATAAATTAGAAGTTTTTGTAGTATCATCTTGAAAATTGTCAGTTTAACATTTTTTCAACTGGCGTACATTTAAATCAATTTCTAGACGGCGTGACTAAGGCATATTATCTTTATGAGACAGGCACAAATTTACTTAGGCAAATATTTATTAGGAATAAAAGAACAGCCTTATTATATTATTTCTCAGACCATAAAAGAAGGGTTACATATAATGAAGAAGTTTGGTCACTTATCGAATACAAGTACAGTTACGTCAACCAATGCTGAAATAATATCTCTAATTATAAGGGCCAAATTCAGGGACTTCCCTAAATCTATACTAACCTTTCACTCATATCAAACTTATACTTCACTCAACTTCAGGTGCCCTCATCTCATTCTCAATTCTGGTATTCAGAAATGTGTATAAATGAGTGACTAACTTGAGTGTGCATCAAACCACAAATTACGAGATAAGGGAACAGTTGGCTACTCAAATATTACCAAAAATATGTCATCAGTGAAAGCCTAATGCCCCAGTATTTCTTTATTTTGAATTTGAATAACTCACGTTGAAAATATGTACATTATAAATTACATTTAAATAATAAATAATAAAAATCAAAAGGTCTATTTAATTATCCAGGTAAAAACGATCCTCATATAAACCATGATATACCAAGTAATAATATAATCATTAGTTTATTTTCCTTACTATGTACTTCATACAAAGTGACAAGAAATTATTTATAACATACGTAACTAATTTCCAAAAAATAAGCCAAATTTATATAGCGTTCACGTACAGAATATTCTTTATTGAATACCTGTACTTAATTGTTTGTAAAATGTATTGCTAGAATATTATGAAACCACAAAATTAATTAATTAGGAACATATATATAAGCACACGTCAGATACCTCTAATGTGTCACTGATCTAACACTCATTTGTGAGAGCGATTTGAGTACGATTTAATTTTAGTAAGTTTAGTCTGAGATAAGTTATAGTGAGATTTATGAATTTAGGCCTTAAGCATCCTAGAAATTTCATATCACTGTATATTTGATGAATTCAGTCACTTTAATTGGTAAAAATTTCACTTTGTTTCAGGATCAGAGAATTCTTTTTTTTTATTATTAAAAATGCAATTTTCGATACATCAGAAAAACCTGTAATTAATTTTTTCTGGAATTGCGTTTTTAACTATAGTGTTAGGAATTCGAAATTCATGAAAAATCTCGTGGATCTAAAAACCTCCGCCACTGATAATTTAGAAAGCTATGAGTGAAATATAAGGGTGACTGTAAATAAAAAATTAAGTACATTTGCAAGTTTATTTCGTATCTCAATACATCATCAAACAGCAGTCTTAAACCTTAATGGTGGGGGGCGTTGATTTCCTCAGCGTGCTTGTGGTAGACCTTGACGTCCTTGCAGCCGGAGTTGGGGATTTCGTGCCACATCTCATTGAATTTAATAAACCTGTCGAAGGGATATCCCACGGGGTAGTCATCGACGTGGATTGCACCGGTGCCTACCTTGGGATAGTTGTATTCATTCACATGACGGTCCTTACCCTTGTATGGTTTGTAGGGGTAGACAAAGACTGCGAAGGTGAAACGAGTTCCGCTACGAGAACCTTTAGGCAACATGTACCTGAAAGAAAAGTAAAACAATAATTGTAAGTTCCTCTAAGGGAACACATTCTTCTTACCTCCTGGGGAAGTGGAAATAGTTCTGTTTGCCATCAATGTGGAACTCCTTTTGACCTTGGATAGCTTCTTCTACTTGTTTGGTCAACTCGTCGTAGGTTGTGCGGTCTGGTCCATAGCAGTCAGCGTCGTACGAGTTCCTAGTGATAACATTTTCTCCAGCCTTCAGATCGTGCACGAAGTGATCCAGCTCAACCATGTTCATACGGTTGCGGGTGATGTTGATGTAACGACCGTATTCATCATATTTAGGTGCCATGAACACCTTGACTGAAGCTTTGGTGTGCTTGTCAGATTGAACGTGAATCTTGTAGGTGAAGGGTTTGTGGTTCAACCGGTATTGCTTGGCACGTACATGGAAGGTGTCGTGTTGCAATTCTTCATCGGTATCGTATACGGCGTTGCTAATATCGGAATAGAAAGAGTCGTGATAGGTTTCCAAGCTGTCAACGTCGACTTTGGTGACTTTCACGCCAGGGTACTCCAAATCTTGCTTGGTGTAAGGGTGCATGTGCATCTTGTGTCTTTGGAAGTAGCCGATGATCTTCTTGTACATCTGGTAAAACATAGGGTCACGCATGCAGGTTTCGTAGTGTTCCATAGCAGATGGAGCTGCGCGGTGCTTGTCCAACGGTTGTTTGGAGTAACCAAGGAGGTGACGACCGAAGAATTGGATAGAACCGTAGTATCTGCGGTCGGGAGAATCGTAGTTACCTTCGATCATGTTTCCTAGGATATTATCGCCGTCTTCGTTGTCTAAGTCCATCTTCTTGCCATCGTCCTGCAACAACAATATTATTAATGCATGGGCGCATACAATCGTTAAGTAGTTAAAGAAGAAATAAAACCGGATAACTTTTTTTAGAAATAGAAATATACTATACTTACAGTGTATACCATTCTTCTGTCAATAGCATCGTGGATACGCCTCTCATAGTCACGAACAAAAGTGTAGCTGTATCCAGAAGGTCCCCTGGTTGTCCAGCTTTGACCGTAGTTATTGTAATATTCCTGCAACCTAGCATGATGTGGTCTAGATGGAAATTCGAGTCCATTGGGGTATTCCATGGAAGGATAATATGAGGTTTCGATAGGTGTTTCCCAGTTGAAGTGACGAATCTCACCCATATCGTTAGAAATACGTTCCATGTAATACCTAGCTAATATTTGTTGGTGAAGGTAGTAGTAGAGTTCACCGCGTTTGTCGTGTTCCAGTCCATATTCTTTACCGTCCATCCAGAATGGATAGTGGAGATTGTAGTAATAGTAGAAGGAGTTGATACCAACATCTTCGAGGTAGTAAGACATGGATTGTTCTGGGTGCAAGTTCAAGTAGTGTCCAGAGTAGTTAGCTATTACAGTATAACCGTTGTATCTTCCTTGTTCGTGACCAGTATGCTTGTTCTTTTGGTCGTGCTCTTGTTTGTGCCTGTAAGCTTCGTGTATGACCTCTGAGTTGAAGAAGTAGTGAGGGTACACCTCGTGGATGGGTGGTAGGATGATTCCTTGGGTATCTTGGCGGTGGACGATGGCTACGGAGGTGGCGTACAAGAACATGCCCTCGTTGACGTGCTGGCGGGCCCAAACAGCGGTCTTGTAGAAGGTTTCGAAGTCATTGGCGTGGTATAATACTTTGAACAAGGCTATGGCTTGCTCGAGGTGTTCGATGTTGAATACGGAGAACACTTCACCTCTGTGTAGTATGTTCTTGTATTTCAAGTAGCGGACAAATTCTTTGATAACCTCTGGTTTCTAAAAGAAAAAAACATTTATAGGTATAGAACACATACAAACAATACTGTTGTTTAAAAGATAGCCATGAGCTAGAGCAGGTCAAAGCTGGGTTACCAAATAATTTGAAAAGTTGTAGAAATTGAAATGGTTGAAGTGTACGAATATACTTGCCTTGTAGTGGTCTACATTTTCTCCAATAGTGAAAGTCTTAGCTATTTCAACATGTTCTCTGTGGTGGCTAGGTTGATTGATGTGGCTGAATAATTGTAAGACTTTCTTCTGTTTCTCTAAGAAAGTCTTGTCAGCTGCAAAACATTTTAAATAAGAGAATTTTGCACCCTACACACAGATCAAATTTAGAAGATTACGTTCTTAAAACAATTATTTAAGATCGTCGGAATCAGGATAACATAAACTTTTTCAGTGCAAACCTTAGAAGACCATAAAATTCACAACTTTAATGTTGCTAGTTGTTCTAACAAGCTGCATACACTCGTTACTGTTAGTTTTGCAGACAGAAAAATAATTTTTACAAACAGCAGTACTTTGGAGGTTATGTTTTACTAATTATTAGAAATAATAATTTTCTAGAGAAAAAAATGTTATTCGTTTGAAGAAAAATAGTTTACACCACCATTTGCAATATGGTGAATATTTCGGAAACATAGGCTAACTTTCGAAGTTACTTTTTTTCTAATTTATTCGTGTTATAACTGTTAAATATACTTAACATTTTATTAATTTAAATTTATTTATTAGGAATTAGGTATTTTGTTTATTAACCTTGTCTATATTTAATTATTTTCTTGTGCTAATCGATTAAAATTCTTTGGAAAAACTATGCTGTCAAATAAAAACAAAGTGCCATCATTATAACACTATGAATTCCAAATTCTAATATAATATGAAAAATTTGTAAGAATTCTTTTAAAAAGAGGTTTGCCAAAGTTCTAAGAAATATTTTAAAAAAAGGTACTAAGTGATTTTTTAAATACTAAATGTAAAATTACTTAATCATATTTTGTGAACCTATTATACATTTCTTAAATATTAAAAAATATCTTTTTAAAAGATATTTTGAATTTAAAAAAAAATTAAACAAAGCATGTTAAATTCAATGTTACTAAAAAAATAGTACACTTTTATATAAAAGAATCTTTTTCAACTGAAAACTATAAAGAAAATCTATCATTGTTAAAAAAGTTCTGAGAATATAGTTTTAAGGGATCACAAAAAAAAACTGTTCTTACTATGAAAAAAAATTGAACTTACCAACTTTGTATTTATCTTGCCCATCGTCAGAAAGGGCAAGGGCGAAAAGAGCCGCCAATACCAAAACAAACACCTTCATCTCTACTGTTCTACCCAACAGTGAAGTCTGAATCTATCCCACACACCCCCTTATTTTTATAGTAGTTGAAACGGTAACACCGTGACCCCTTGACCTGTTTGTGTTTTTAAAAATCCTCTATAAGTCGTAGGAAAATTATTACCGCTGATAATATGTTCCTAAGACAATAATATTCCTTTGATTATTTGGAAATAATTTGTGATAAAATGTACTGTTCAAACAACTTCTATCGAAATATTATAATGTTTAATTTAAATTTGTCCTACTTACGGAAATATTTTGAGCGGATCTAAAAAAATAACTACTTTAAAAATGTCTCATCTTTTTATTACTACCTCTTGTATTTTTATTATGAAGATATTAATTTAATTAGAAAAATTTTCACAAAATTGTTATCAAATGAAGTGACCTATATTTGTATCTATATTAATTATTATTATAAATTATTACTTACTTTTTTAAATTATATATTATTTGTCAAAGTATTAAGTTCGTTTAAAATAGATCTAAAAAGTTACGTAAAATTTTCATCAAACAATTTGGGCACTGCCACTTCAAAATTTCATTTTGTTTGTTTCACATAGACTAGGTGGCCGGAACTATATCTGCATACATCAAGGGTTGCTTCGTTAAATGAAATTAAAATTATTTTTATCAAGTTATCCCATTAATTTTTCTAGCAGTTACATTTTAAGAAGCTACAAGCCTTAGAAAGTTATTTTATTTGCTTTCTTACCTTAGATATTCCTATAACATTTGATATAAGAGTATTTTGGGGGCAACCAAAGATTAAAATAGGCCTTTTCTTATCTAAATGATCGACTTCGTAGATTTTTGCCACATTTTTACATTTTACGGAATGTAGAAGAAAATTATTTAATATAGAAAAAATATATTTAATGCAGAAACAGAAATAGAAATATCTATACTTAATGTAAAAATAGAAATATACTTACATAATATGGAAAACATATACTTAGTGTGTGACTAAAGTCCAATATAATTATTATTTTCTACAGTTCGTATCTTTAAAGTAATTTTTAGCATACATACCTAATTATTGGTGTTAAAGAGTATAATATGACCTCAACAGTTGAGGATTTCAACATAATTAGTTGAATTAGCCTAACACCTTTTAAAGTAAACAAAAATGACTAAAGCGAATATGTATTAAAACTATATGATTAAAAAAAACGACTGGACAAATTGAAACGGATTTTTCTCTAGAACGAACATATTAAACAAGTATAAATATGCCATAAAAAAAATATGACAAATATGGAAAAATACAAGAAGAATAAACTGCAAATTGAAATATCTCTAGTGTCCTAAAAAAATTAAATAAAAATTATTTTTTGTGGGCAAGTAACTTATTAAGGAATCAAAATTATGCTTGATCTAAATCTTATTTTCAGAAAATAGAGATACCCTTGAAGTATGGCTCGGTACAAATATCTTAATAATAAGACAACCCCCCCCCAAAAAAAAAAAAGTTCTGTACCAGAGAGACGACTAGGTACACAGTTTAGTCATTGTGGCTTATTTTTTTTTAATGCCTGAAACATTATTTAAAGCTGTCTGTTACCTACACAGGCCCGGATCCAGAGACTGGTTTTGGGGGAGGCGCAAAGCACTTCTTTATCATTATCATTATTATTATTATTGTTGTTGTTGTTGTTGTTATTTTTTTGATGACGTAAGGTGTAGGTTAGGAAGGGGGACTTGCATTAATATCGACTAACTGCCTGTTGTCGTTTGGAGAAATTGAAGATCTTTAAAAAATGTTGTGCTTTGGGGGTGGCGATCGCCACATCGCCACCCCCTCTGGATCCGGGCCTGTACCTACATACCTTTTCATTCGTAATATTTGGTTAGATTCTTTATATTTTTAGATCAATTACCAGCTTGCGTATAGAGTGGCTTATTTAACATAATATCTTGATATTTTTTTTATTAAAAAGCATTTGACGCGAGTTTAGGATAATTCTAGAATTAATTTGAATTTTAACATTATCTAAATCTATACAGGGTGTTTCATAACTTCCAGCTAACGTAGAAAAAAGTTGTGAGAGAAATAAAACAAAAACAAAAAATTTTGAATATAAAAAATAAATAATTTCTTTTATTCAAAAAAAACACTACCAAAAAATACCATTCAACTAGTTGTTAACGTGTACCAAAATCAAAATTTCTAAGTATAACCGTTTTCATGAAAAAAAAATAAAAGCTAATTTTTCCGGTCATTTTGAGATTTGAATATTTTCTCAAGGGGGGGGGCTCATTCAAAAAAATATATTGGTACCCCCCTAAAATTACTTTCTAAACACGTCCTTAAACACATCATTATGAAAAATTCGGGAAAAACTGAAACATAACACAAACGACACAAATAAATTTATTGAAATTGAAGGATAACGTATGTCGGATCAGTTAGTGAAATATAAAAATAACTGTAATATTTAAAAACGTTTGTTGAATCTTTAACATTTACTTAGGCCGGTCTTGAATGAACCAATTTATGAAAAATATCATACGTTAAAAAAATCATACTTAATTGCATTGTGTAATTTTGTCTTATAAAAGATCTGAAAACAGACCTGAAACTTATACCTATTTGCATTAAATACTAAATAAAGTTATTTAGATTATATATTCTCTATCTCTGTCAATTTTCTTATGAAATTTCCTAAACAAAAAGATAAGAAAATTTGCGAACCTCATTATGTATTGGTTATTGAACGAGTAAGGTAGACGTTCCTACTCAGTTCTTTTTATCGAATTTGTAAGTTGTATACTCGTATGTGAACTTTTTCCATACATTTCTTTAGAAGTCCATAAGTTTTTTAGTACCTTCATCAACATGACAATATTTTGTCACATTTTTCGTTATTATGGTTGATCTTATAATTAGTAAGTCATACTAAAATATTTTTTGATAGGGCAAGAAGTTAGTTCCATTATGTAACACATAATATTATACCTTCTTCCAGTTCCAAATAAGGGATAGTGATTTTTGTTCAGCACCTACTGTAAGGGGGAAGCTTTGCTTTTGAAGAGTTCTCCTGTTTAATGCTGTAGAAAGATATACGAATAAGTTTTACATATTACAGATGGTGAGTAAAGAATTTAGTGTACTTACAAGACGTTAAGTTAAGTTTAATTTGACTGATTTTAATGATTTTTTTTGTCAATGTCGGTTGTTATTCAAGTCCTCCTAAAACGCAACACCACCCATTTTTCCAGTAATGATATACAGGGTGTATCTAAATAACACCGAAAAAATACAAGGGGCGATTCTCCGATGAAAATTAATAGGGGTCTTTGGTATAAAATTTTTTGAAAAAACCCTCCCCTGAAAAGTTACGCCCCTCCTAAAATTACAAAAAAAAATTGTTTTTCTTTTTTATCTTCCACGTACATCAAGCTAAAGAAACCAAACTTGGTGAACATTATCTGTCAATAAAACTACACTTTTTGAATTTTTTTCAACCCTGAACTATTTTTGTAAGGGGTTGAAATAATCAACCCCTATGACATTTTTTCTTATAATTTTTTTTTCGATAAAATTTTTTCCTTTTAAAAAATATGTCTAAAAAACCCCATTCATTTACTAACTTTTTGATCTCTTCAAGTTTCTTCGAAAAGTTAAGGATTTATGACAAAAAAAAATAAATGTATTGTAATGTATTTTTAAAAAGATGAGCTGTTTAACGCGAGTGTATTTTGCCGAAAGATCTAGTGGCCTGTTCTTTACAATGGAATCCGTAGAAACAAATGTCAATGTCATTTATTGTCATATTAAATAACATTTTATTAAAAAACACTCAACCAAATAGTTGACCTATGATTCTACTAGGCTAAGAAGTTTGGAACTTAGACTAAAAGTGAACAAATGATGAATAATGTTATAACAGTAACAAAAAATAAAAATCTGTCGGATATTGACAATACAATCTACAAAAAATGTTGAAAATGATTGCCTTCAGCTTCAATACAAGCATCTACTCTTGTTCTCATAGAATTGCGTATGCGTTCAAATATTCCTGGTGAATTTTTTATCGTTTCACACCCTGCTACAATGCGGTTTCGCAAATCATTGATATCTTCAACTGGCCTTGAGTAGATCAAAGATTTCAGATATCCCCATATGCAAAAATCCAAAGGATTAAGGTCAGGGGAGCGGGCTGGCCAATTTACATATCCTCCTCGACCTATCCATCGATTGGCATACACCTCATCCAAGTGACGTCTTGCACGTATACTAAAGTGGGCTGGTGCACCGTCGTGCATAAACCATAAACGTTGCCTAATTTGAATGGGAACTTCTTCAAGAATAATAGGTAATTCTTCGAGAAGATGACAATATGAGTCACCATCTAATCGTCGTGGAAGAAAATAGGGACCAATTAAATGATCGTCGATAATTCCGAGCCACACATTTAATGAAAATTGATACTGATGATTTCCTTCAAAAAAGTCATGAGGATTTTCCTCAGCCCAAATATGATTGTTACGAAAATTTCTAATACAGTCTCTTGAGAAATTCGCCTCGTCAGTAAATAAAATATTTCTTAAGAACTGCGGCGCTTGGCCGATCATATTAATAAGCCATTGACAAAAAACCACACGTGGTAAAAAATCTCGAATCAGTAACGACTGCACCCGTTGGAGATGATAGGGATATAACTGTTGTTCTTTTAAAATTCTAAAAACTACCGAATGGCTTACATTTAGGACACGAGCTATTTTCCTGGTACTAGTTTCTGGGGATTCCTCAATTAAATTAAGTACGGCTTCATCGACAGCTTCAGTTCTAACTTCTCGGCTACGGCCACAGTCATGACTTCTCTTTTCAAATTTTCCAAGTTCCCGCAAGCGTTGGTGAATATTTGTGAACGTAGTATGGTGGGGTAATCTACGCTCTGGGTACTGTTCAGCATAAAGTCTTTGCGCTTCCAATGCATTACCGTTAGCATACCCATATGTAAAATGCATATCTGCCATTTCTAAATTCGAATAGTTAACCATATTTTCGGTTTATTAACTAATATTTTCTACACAAAATCATGAAACTTGTGAAATAGTAAGAAACAGTAACAATAAATGACATTGACATTTGTTTCTACGGATTCCATTGTAAAGAACAGGCCACTAGATCTTTCGGCAAAATACACTCGCGTTAAACAGCTCATCTTTTTAAAAATACATTACAATACATTTTTTTTTTTTTGTCATAAATCCTTAACTTTTCGAAGAAACTTGAAGAGATCAAAAAGTTAGTAAATGAATGGGGTTTTTTAGACATATTTTTTAAAAGGAAAAAATTTTATCGAAAAAAAAATTATAAGAAAAAATGTCATAGGGGTTGATTATTTCAACCCCTTACAAAAATAGTTCAGGGTTGAAAAAAATTCAAAAAGTGTAGTTTTATTGACAGATAATGTTCACCAAGTTTGGTTTCTTTAGCTTGATGTACGTGGAAGATAAAAAAGAAAAACAATTTTTTTTTGTAATTTTAGGAGGGGCGTAACTTTTCAGGGAAGGGTTTTTTCAAAAAATTTTATACCAAAGACCCCTATTAATTTTCATCGGAGAATCGCCCCTTGAATTTTTTCGGTGTTATTTAAATACACCCTGTATATAGAGTTCTCAACTCGACTAACGAAAGCTTTGCGAATCAACATAAAAATGATTAGTTATTTCTAAATTAAATATGCAAGCAGTTTTAATTGAGTCTAAAAAGTATTTTTTAGGTCAACTGAAGTACCTAGGTATTACTTAAATAAGACTAGGAAATTTTAGAAGAACTGTATTTATAAAAAAAAAATTAAATTCTGTAAAAATCGGTACTTATATTGTTTCAGATCACCGTCGGAATTCTTTCTGTAAAAAAATCCTAATAAATAGTAGGTACCTGCTACATGCTTCATGCATAAAACAAAAAAAAACAAACTAAATAAATAAAATTATCCCAGTTGACCATTGCTTTGAAATATAAATTGAATGGAATATGTTTCTAACGTGCCTCCACAAGATCTAGAATAAAAAAAGTTTGTCAAAATTGGCCATTATATAAAATAAATACTTAAAACGGTTACGGGGGTTGCTGATTCATAAACAGAACATCCTGTATATCTGGCTTTCTATGTTCCAAGCTCCTGGAAACGATGAAGGAAATACTCAATTTATGTTTTAACTGTAAGGTCTATTATGTATTTTATTTGAAGGTACTTGTAGAAATATCTAGAAATTTCTTTTTTAAACATTGGTAGATAAATTAGTCTCAACATGCTTAATGTTTTCGACATTTCCTTGACAATATTTATGTAATGAGTTAGGATAAGCAAGTCCATAAAATTAGAACAAATTATTTTCTGAAATGCTCAAGGACAATGTTTGTGTTGCTTTCTTGGGGTCTGCTATAAATGTTTAAAACGTACAATGTGTTCAGTTTTTCAGCCGCATCGTTGGGATCTTTGTTATGTTAAAAAATACAGGGTTGGTCAAATGGACGTAATTTGATCACAATAAACTTACAGAACAGAAATGAAAAACTGAATTTTTTATAGTTTTTTTTTAATCGAAGTCGCATTGCATTTATACTTTCAGTGCATTTTTATTACGAGTGTTATTATATACACTCAGCAAAAAGAAAAATTTCCAAATTTTCTAAGTTATTTTTGAAAGGCGGTAACTTTGTGAAAAATGGTAGTATCAAGAAATAAAAGAAAGCATCTTGAAGCTTGAATATTCTAGTTTTGAAATCTTGAGATGAAAAATTTTTTGAGCATTATTTTCGGCGCAATCAAAAGAAATATTGCAAGGCAAAAATTAAAATTTTTTTTTCACAACTGCCCATAGGCTCAGAAAAAAAATTCTGGCTTAATCAAGACATTTAGTCTTAGTCATAGTTATTTAGCCTGATTCCTCAGCTTCAATTTGTTTGTTTTAATTTTCTGTACGATTTTTTCTCATTAAGATATCGGCTATTGAGTGAAAAATCGCCTTCTTTTTGATCATCGATATCAAGGGCCTTTTGGTATGTTTATAAAAAACAATTTTTTCTCATGCTAAGTGACCTTGGCAATGATTAAGCCAGAAGAAAATGATCTGACACATAGGCAGTTTTGAAAAAAATTGTAAAATTTTTGCCTTGCGTTATTTCTTTTGATTGCGCGGAGAATTATACTCAATAAAAATTTCATTTCAAGATTTCAAAAATAGAATCTTCAAGCTTCAAAATGCTTTTTTATTATGCCTTTTTATTTTCTCGATACGATCGTTACTCATGAAGTTAGAGCCTTCCGAAAATCACTAAAAAAAATTGGACATTTTTTGCTGCATTAATTTTTTGCTGGGTGTATGATATCATTTACTGTTTTTTTTTCATCAAAATGCCAAATGATCCATTTTTACAAATAGTGGTTTAAAAACAAAACATCAAACTATTACGTCAAACGAAATCTTGATAGTTGAGTTTAAATTGCAATTTGCAATGAAATAAGTCCTTTAAATCCTAATTGATTAAATAATTTCAAGAAGTTCCGGCTTTGTTCCAAGCGAAAATCACCCTGTACCAGCACCGGATTAACCAGGGGGCTAGCGGCGGCTGTAACCCGGGGCCCCACAAGCTATTGGAAAAATAAAAAAAAACAAACTAATGAACGGTAATAAAAATACTTAATGACAATTTCTAATGCTATCTTTTACCTGAACAAATAATTTTAATTGGAAATGTATGTTGTATTACATATAAAATTTAATATTAAGAAAATAGCATACTAAATTAATTTAAAAGGACTTTTGCTTCCTCACAAAGGAAGTTTTGTGATGGTGCAAAAATTAATTTTCGTCAAAATTATCATATACAGGTTTATGCAGGAAACTTCGGGGGTAGATAGATCTCTTTAAAATAATATGTGTTTCCCTTATAAACATAGGTCTGGAACGGCCCCGTTTTAGAGATACAGGGTGTTGAGGTTTAAAAAAAAATGTTTTTTTGTTTATATCACACACTACCTCACAGGTGGTGTAGAAAGGAGTGTAAATAATTTACAAATTACACTTACTTTTAAACATAAACAAATATTTTTGTAATATTATCGTTAGAAGT